CTTGGGTGTCCAATCACACTTGGCCAATAAAGAATTCTATTCTATTCTATTCTATTCTATTCTATTCTATTCTATTCTATTCTATATAAAGTATCACGTATCAAGGCGGGATTTCAATGGAAATCAAATTCACATTTTTTCCCTACTTACCCCAGCTGATCGTGGTGGCTTTATTCGGTTTTTCTTGTTCCCATGTGCAGTGGCTAGCTTTATCTTATAACCTTCTCCTAAGTAGGAACTATCTGTAGAAGAAAAAATGAAATCTTTAAATGAAATAAACTTCGGCATGGCAGTTGAGAATCATTACCCCCCCCCCCCCCGTTTCTTTTTAAATTAATGTAATAGAAGAGGTTAAAATTGAAAATATTTTGCAAACTCCAAATGCTTAGGCTAACATGGACATTGTGGTTTTAAAGCTTTCAAAATAACCCCCCCCCTCTCTCTTTTAATTAAAGGCTGTTATATATATTTTTTCCTTTGGGTTACAAGGATTTTGACTTGTTGGGATGATAGATAGATAGATAGATAGATAGATAGATAGATAGATAGATAGATAGATAGATGACAGATAGATAGATAGATAGATAGATAGATAGGCAGATAGAGAGAGAGGCAGATAGATAGCAGATAGAGAGCGAGAGGCAGATAGATGATAGATAGATAGGCAGATAGGCAGATAGATAGCAGATAGAGAGGCAGATAAATAGATAGATAGATAGATAGGCAGATAGGCAGATAGCTAGGCAGATAGAGAGAGGCAGATAGATAGATAGATAGATAGATAGATAGATAGATAGATAGATAGATAAGCAGATAGGCAGATAGGCAGAGATAGCAGATAGAGAGAGAGGCAGATAGGCAGATAGATAGTGAGAGATAGATAGATAGATAGATAGATAGATAGATAGATAGATAGATAGGCAGACATATATAGATATAGAATATGAATGCCTATTTTTTGGCCTCTTCTCATAACAGAATAACAGAGTTGGAAGGGACCTTGGAGGTCTTCTATTCCAACCCCTTGCTCAAGCAAAAGACCTTATACCATTCCAAACAAGTGGTTGTGCAGTCTCTTTTTGGAAACCTCCAGTGCTGAAGCATCTGCAACTTCTGGAGGCAATCCATTCACAATCAAGAAATTTCTCCTTAATTCCAGGTCGCTTCTCTCTTTGATGACTTCCCATCCATTGCTCCTTGTCCTGCCTTCAGGGGCTTTGGAGAATAGGTTGAGCCTACTTCTTTGTGGTAGCCAGAGGTGGGCTGCTGCCGGTTTGCACCAGTTTAGGCAAACTGGTAGTTAAGATTCTGCGCAGTTCGGTGAACCGGCAAATCCCATCACTGGTTAGCCTGACCTGGCTCATTTTTTGGTCTGTTTTCCGGACAGTTTTTTGGGCTGTTTTGGGCCATTTTTTGGGGTCAAAAACCAGAAAACAATAAAAAAGAACAGCCTGAAAATGGCCCAAAAACAGGCCAAAAAATGGGCGGGGGGCAGGGCCAGCCTGTGGTGGGATTCTCCCCAACCGGCTGACTCTTCCCTCTGCCTTTGAGGCAAGTGGCTGGGAGGCGGGGCTGGGTGTGATGGATGACATCACCCATCCCGTCACATGACCAACCAGCCACACCTACCCAGCCAGAGAACGGTTGTTAAATTATTCCAACCCCACCATGGGTGGCAGCCCTTCAAATATTGGATCCCTGCTATCCCCCATCCTTCTTTTCATTAAACCAGGCACAAGAAGGAATGAAAAAGGTTGCATTTATATTTATTAAAAATCAACCCACTGTTTATCGAAATTACGTGGGGTTTTTTTAGCTTAGGCCCTGGCTTGGTCACATTGATAGTAAACTAATTCACCTCTGTGAAGGGGAAAAAATTCAAATGTCTATTTTAGGAGTGTCTTTACATGAAGTAGAGCAGATGGTGTCATGCCTCTGTTGGAGTCTGAATCCAAGGAGGAAGATGAACAGCTGACAGGGGGTGGGAGTGTGGCTCCATTGGCTGTGGAGGAAACTGGGGAAGGACAAAGTCTGACTGGGTAGAACAGGGAAGAGGTAGAACAAGGGAGAGGGAGTTCCAAGGAAGACCCAGGCCCACCCGCTCTTTGTCCTAGGGCACTCAGGAAGGAACGGAGAAGGGAGCAACGTGAGTTGCGTGGCTTATGGGGGAGGAAAGGGCCCTGATTCCCTTCATTAGCCACAGCTGGGAATGAGAGTTTAAAAGAGATGCATGCTGAGTGCAGCAGCTGCTGGGAACAAATGTGAGTTTATCTTGTGTTGACTTTGGTTATCTGCATTCCTGGCTTCTTCCCAACTGTCATGCTTTCATGTCTGGAGTTCTTGCTCCTGCCCTGCCAAACTAATGACCTCATTTCCCCTTGATTGGACTTATAGTTACAATTTTTGTTGACCACATTTTGGACTTGATTCTCTGCAGCCAAAGGCTGTTCTTGGGAGAGTTTTTCTCCAGCCCAGAAGGTAACTAGGACATTGGGGGTAACATTAAGAAAGGAACTCCTTCTAATTAGCTTGGGATTAGCTTGGGTGGGATGGGGGGTTGGACTAGATGACCTACAAGGTCCCTTCCAACTCTGATTATCTGTTATCTGTGTTGCCTTTGTGCCACACCCCAGGTTATCACAGACAGCTAGAGATATAATCTAATCCTCTGACAAATGCTGTACTTGAATAATGCTATAAGTGGTTTTCCCCTCCCTCCCTTTAGAGATATGCATGAGCATTTACTCCAAAATCCATCCATCATTTCTGCTCTGGGCTATCAGGATAAATAAAGGACCATAATATTGGTTGTGAACATCACCCACGAGACCTCTTTTTTTCTCCCGCTTCCCCAAGGCATCCTTTCAAAGATTTAAAAGTGGCCTAAACAGCGTCATCCCTCCCAATGAGATATATAAATCTTTTCCCCGGAGACCCCAGTTCCATAGTGGAGCTATAAACCTACTTGATTAGTTATGCATAGAAAATAAAAAAGGTTTTAGCAGCCACATTTTCTGCCACCTCTCTTTCTCTCACTTCCTGGGGTGACCTTAGTGGGGATAATACATTTCAGGCAAAGATGCATTCCTTCTGTAATAAAAGGGAATGAAGGTGCTATCGGTCTATTGATTCCTGGGGAGGATGAAAAAAACAAACCACCCCATAGGAAAAATAAATTTTGATATGGGCTTCAATGTAAATTCATTAGGAAATCGACGCAACTCAAGGCTCTTATTATTTCCAGGAAAGAGAAGAAGACGTAGGAGCTCTGTAATCGTTGCTCTGTGACAGGCAGAATAGAATGAGATCCCTGTAAGTTTTGGCGTCCAAATGTGTGATTCCAATCCCTGGGAAGGAAGGGTACTTTTTAAAATAAAAAATAGCACTCGCAGTATTTCATATAATCTTTCTTCTTCTTCTTCTTCTTCTTCTTCTTCTTCTTCTTCTTCTTCTTCTTCTTCTTCTTCTTCTTCTTCTTCTTCTTCTTCTTCTTCTTCTTCTTCTTCTTCTTCTTCTTCTTCTTCTTCTTCTTCTTCTTCTTCTTCTTCTTCTTCT